TTTCAAAACATTAACTTTATAACTTTTCATACATGCCGTACCCGGAGGCACCATTTGACATGAAGGGGTATGCCGTACCCGAGGGCACCATTCGACATACGAACATTTCTTCAACATAGAGGGGTATGCCGTACCGGAGTACCATTTGACATACAACCATTAACATAGAGGGATATGCCGTACCGGAGTACCATTTGACATACAAACATTAACATGAATCGAAACTTATAACTTAACACGATTAAACACATTGCACCTCTACCTACCTTGATTGATGCTTTTGAAACTTTGAAAACTTGGATTGAAAACTTCGATGAAACTTGGACGTTGAAAGAAATGTACTCCTTGGATGTTTGAAAACCATTGAGAATTGATGCTTGAAGACACTCCTTGATAGCACCCAAAACTTCTATGAAAAATGCTTGAAAACACTTCTTAAACTTATAGGAAAAATAGTTTTCCTCCCTCTCTTTTTCTCTCTTGGAAATTCTTTCTTTAGTATGTAAAAGTTCTTGCTTTTGGTGTAAGAAAAATGAGTGAAATGAGATCTCTATTTATAGGTAAATATCCCATAACTTAAAGTAAATGAAGGGTCAAATTTCATTTAAGAGTTATGGGATATTTACCTATAAATAGAGATCTCATTTCACTCATTTAAGAGAGAAAACATGGGTGCCATTTAAGTTTGAGGTTAAATGCTTCAATTTAGTGGGGTTTTTATTGCCAAAAACGTGGGTGGCCCTTTGAGAAAATAATTGATGAAAATAAATATTTAAATTCTAGAGAAAAACGAAAATTTTCATTTCAGGCAGTTTCGGTCGATCAGTTGTAGTCCGGTTGGCACTGCATAGCTTTCAGTGTTTCTATCATAACTTCTTCTCCCGATATCCGATTGAGGTAATTCAAAGTGCGTTGGAAAGCTAACTCAAATAGATACAACTTTTATTTAGATATCATTTTCCAAATCTAATGTTTCCTATGTCAAAAATGGGTCTCAAATGAGACTAAAAATCTGAAGTATACTTTAGTCATCCAATATTCATGTCTTAGTGCCACTAAGGTGTCTAGAATTATTTGGGGTTCTACATGATATGCTTTTCAGTCCCTGAGGCCGTAGTTCTGTGGGATTTGTTCAGTTGAATTTAAACTTCAACAGGTTTTATACTCTTCACTACTTTGGTAACATGTTGAGGTTATCAATTATTTCCTAATTTGACTATATTATGACATTTTTTGCGCCTTTTTCAGTCTACAAATGAAGAATTAGTTGGACATATTGAATTGTTTAGTAGGATGCATTCCACATCAAAAGGATGGGATAACCAACTAGCCGAGTCTCGATATGTAAGATATATCATTTATTACACAAAGATTTTAACATTAATATTATTTATTTTAACAACCTTCTTCTATTGTACGACAGAAAGAAATGGTGGAGTTACAACAATCACAAGCAGAGCTTGAAGATGAAGCACCTATAATGGATGAAGCAGAAATATGTGCTCGAGTTCTTGGTAAGAGTGCTGGGACTATTTCTGGGATTGGACCCACTCCACGCAAATCATACAGCAACATAGTTACGGCTCCCCCTAAATTGATGCAACAGTTGGAAATTCTTACAAAACAAGATAAAGAGAAGGATAAAGCTATTAGTGAGCTTACACAAAGTCTCGAACAACAAGCATTACTTATCCAGAGCCTTGTTGTACGAATGGATATGAGTCAGCATCCTCCAACAGAACCAACCAATGATCCACCTCCATTGCCTCCACCACCGCCATCAATTGGTGCTACCGTACTATGATTACATTATTGAAGTTACAATTTATCTTTTCGTGGTTAAATATTAGACGTTTATGATTATACATTGATTATTAGTAGTTATCTATGCAATACAATTTTCTTTTGTAGAACATTTTTTTTGTTAAATTTAATATTCTATAGCTTTCGATATTGCTAAATTAGTAATTATGATGGTTGAAAATTGAAATATTGGACAAATTATTAGCAGGAATAAAAAAATATTTAATATAAAAGCATTAATACATACGTCTAGCGACCACATATTGGTTGATAATATCATTCTTCAACCAAATTATGGTCACTGAAAAATAATGAAAAAATTGTTGTCCTTCACCGACCAATGATTGGTCGCTATAGTTATCAATGTTTACCGACCAACGATTGGTCCACGAAAGGTAGCACTATTCACCAACCATAGGTTGGTCGCTATTTCATTATCTTCACCAACCAATCATTGGTTGTTGTTAGTGTGAAAATATTTTGTTCCAATATATTTACCTACGAACGTGTGATCGCAAAAAAGTATAAGCAACAAACTTCTAACAATTATGAGGGACCAAAACATACTTCTTTTTGCGACCATGTTGGTCGCTAAATATCTAACACTCAGCGACCATCTATCTTGGTCGCAAAAGACATTTGATGACAGCGAATCAACAAATTAATCAACTTATCAGCTACCAAAAATCAAACCCTACCGCGACCAGTATGTGGTCGTTTGAGATGACATGTACAGCGACCAGTATGTATGGTCGGTGAAGAGATTTACCAACGGCGAATTTGCGACCATTAAGCGACCACAGATACATGGTCAGAAAAGGGCCCAACGTCCAGGAAAGACCTTTTAGCGACCAGTAAGATTGGTCGTTGGATGCAAGTTTTTTTGTAGTGTTACTTGAAAACTTATTTTCTTGCATACTTGCTTTCCATATTTTTCAAAGTTTGTTCATTTTGAAATTTGAAAATACATAACACAAAGTTTATTTTCTCCCTCGTGTTCTGGGTTGTCTTTATGCACGATGTGAAATGCATCATCAAAGTGGAGCAAATATCATCTTAAGGAAAGCGCAAACACATGCCTTGATATCCCTTGTGGAGTTATTTTTTTCATGTAATTTTCAAATATCTTCATCAACGGATTTGGATTGTTGCAATTTCTTCAACTTAGAGTTCAAAGGGACTTTCTCCAACTTCGTCTACCTCTTACTCTTGCCATTCAAATATAGCACCAACATAGAAAGAGCTATTCTATTGGTGGAACAGGTAAACTCCAATATTATTTTATCATTTTATGTTTTTTTCCCCTTTCATTTGATTGAGCTCAAACTTCCCTTCTAATTCAAGATGTTATAGAAATCACGGCAAGGGTGAAACTCCTATTTGAATGAGATCAAAAGAAATGCATTTTCTTGTTTGCATAAAAAAAAAAAACTTCGTTGTAAAAGCGATGATAGAAGAACACTTGAAACAAGATTAATACAAAGGTTAATAATTTTATTTTATTTTATTGGAAACAAAGTCAATAGTCTATTAGAAAAGAACTCTAACTACAAAGCTGAAAATCGATTTAAGAAGACATACGAGGGGAGCCTCATGCATTTGGAGCTTTAAAGTTGGACGGAACTGGATTGACCAAAATTATTATCTCCATAGTGTAAGAAGCAGAAATTTTTGAAAATGTACGTGGTTCAATTTGGTTTCCTTCAAAATAGAAACAAACCAAATTGAGAATTATTCGATTACAATCAGTGGTTTCATCTAATTAAAAAACTCGTAAAAGCAATTTATTTCAAAGTTATACTTTTTATAAAAATAAAAAATAAAGAAATCATTCTTACATTTTTTTTTTTTTTATGTACTTTCAACTTTTTTTATTATAAAGGCTTAGCAAAAACATGCTTTAAGTTGGCTTTAAGAAGAAATTTTTTTCCCACAATTTTGTTGTTGAAAGAAGTCAACCGACTCGCCTACAAAATATTAGTATAGGTCAAATGTTCTCTACATTGTAGGCAAAAAGATTGTTCAACTGCACTCATAAGTAAATTCAATCTGACCTGCTTATGAGTATGCCCCCGTTTGGCCTCCATTAAATTTTATTCCATTACATTTCATTTTTCGCTTTCTTATTTTCAACCATGCAATCTTTCATAAAATAATATTATACGTAAATCGAGAATTTTTTTTTTTGCTTTTTTAACCACTCAGTTTTTAAAAGAACATTTTCCCCCATTTTCATGTTCACAAAATGGGGCGAAACGGGGCTATATTTTAATAAAGAAATGCTCCAATAACTTTATGGTTTATAATTTATTTTAATATTAGAGTCACTCTTTCAATTTTCTAACAATATTAAAAATATTTCCTCACATTTTAAATATATTATTAACCTTCCTTATTTGAGTATCACATACACCTCCTAACCATGTTTTGAGTTATATATAATTTAAAATGAGGTTGATATTTCCAAAATACATTTTTAAAGAAAATATAAATTTTCTTCAATTAACTACAATGTAATTTGTTCCCTTCAATAATTAATTGATACTTAAATACTTTTGCATATACAATTCTAAATATGTATGTCAGTGGAGTCTCTATCCTAAAATTTGTCAAAGAATTTCGTTAAAAAATTATTCAAAATTTTTAATTAATTATATACATATTTTAAACATTAACAAAATGCAAATTTTCTAATGTAGATTCAAATTTATAAATTAACATGCAATTTTTAAGATTCAAGTAAAATTTTGATAAACAATAGAACATTATATAATTTCATTTTTTTTGTTAATTAATAACTATATTACATAATAGAATGTTATGTGATGTATTACTTATTGTCATATTTTGAAAACAAATTAAGTAAATTTAATACTGAATGATATTGAACAAGCTCCGCATATAACATGTCAATTTATAGTTATGTAATTTACTTTGAAAAAATTAAAATCGAACTAATCATAGAAACTTTCCTTTTTTTTTTCTTTTTTTTTTTAAATGCATTTTAATTATCATCTTTACTTTAGATGATATATAAATAAATGATTAAAGAAATAAAACGTTACTGATATTTTGAAAATGTGATGGTATTTCTGTTGTTGTCTTAAAAGGTCAGAAGGTTCCTTTGACGTTGTCTCTATTTTCATCAATAAAAAGAATTCAAGCCGTTAATAATTTAAAAATACTAAAAGAAATTATTAATTAATTGGTAAAACATATTCTATTGGATCTATTAAATAAAAAATTTTAAGTTTGTAATACAATCAGCCTAATACACTAAAAATGCTGCAAACAGATAACTTACATTCTTGCGTCATTCTTGAAATACAATCATGTAGGCAGAGTTCTGAGCAAACGAAGAGCGCGCATCCAGCTTGACCTTTCTGAAAGCACGATTCTTCTCAATACAGGAACTGCTCCTGCAGCAATAATGGCTGCATGATTTTCATTGTTCATGCTCAAATTATACAGTATAGTTAAGCTAGCTTCAACAGCCCTTTCGGTCCCAGTTTCGAGCAGTTTCACCAGTGGAAATATTGCCCCCTCGGCTGCAACAGCTTGGGTTGAATCCACCAACCCTTCCGATATTATTCTGTTTAGTTCTAAAACAGCGGCTTCTTGAACCTCAGGAGAAAACGAGCTCTTAATCTGTTCTATCAACCTTGGGATTGTTTCGTACAGAGTTACTTCTATGTTGACTGGATTCTCAAGGTCGAGATTGGGACCTGATAAAGAGCTTAATTTCACTAGGCAAGCAGCGACCCAGTCTTTGTTGTGAAGAGGAATGCTGGACATGAGGGCGGCACGAAGCAATTTGGTGAAGTGGAGAGAATTAATAGATTGACGAAAGAGATCATAATCAAGCAATTTAGCAAGTAACCGCGATGCTGCAGATACTGCTTGGCCGGCTTCTTCAAGTTCCAGTGATTGCAGTTCTGGCTTCTCATCATCAATACCATATCCTTTTTCTGATAATATCAATTCAAATGAAGTTAGTAAGCATGTCAGGTTAAGCTTAAGAAAAATGTAAATGTTGTTTTCAAGTAACTTCTTGTGTCCAAACGCACGTTACTTCTCTTACTAAAGAAAAGTTAATTATTTTGAAAGTAACTCTCTCGCCTGTCAATGGTTTTTGTTGAAAAACAGCTTCTAGACCAGATTCTATGTCAGCCGAGATGATCTGTTCCACACAAGGCTCGCTCGCTGCAATGAACTCCAGGATGGAAGCAGCTTTTCTTTGCAAATCTAGGTCTGATTTCTTCAAGATATCCACGAGGCGATTAAGAACAGTGGGCTCCACAAGTTCTCTCCCGTCAGTGCTGCCAAAGCAGTAAATTAGCACGACAACTAATTATTTTGGGTAAATAATGGAAGACTAATTATAGAACAGTAAATAGCATCAACAATCAAGTCACAGCCTCACAGGAGAAAGCATACATTTCCTTAATGACAAATAACAAGAATCTGCTACCGCTATGTATGTATAACGGCCAAATATGTTGATAATTAGTTATAATGCAAACATGGTCATGGCATTTAACCATCTCATCACATGTATTCCTTTAAATCTTTATCTTGAACACACCCCTTCACGTGCAGAGTTGCTTCATTGTTCAAAGACCTGGCATGAGCTCAATTTTCTAAATGGGTGGCGGTGAGACTTTCTCATTAGTCTTTCGCCTAACCATCTCATCTAAAAGTTTAAACTATTAGAGAGGGACCCCAACACATTCATTTAAATCTTGTCTACAACGATGAAAATATACACAATAACGAACATTAGGCAAGATGATATATGCATATTTCGAGCAAAGAAAAGTACAAATCCATTTTAACAGTGACAGAGTAGGAAGATACAAATGCAGTGGCAACTAGATTGCAATTTCATATGCAATCAATTAATGTAACCCAGCATGTGGTTAACTCGTACAACTTTTACACTTGTGCCGTTCATTATTTTTTATCCAAGTACTTGAAATATTGTAATAGATCTTTTTGTTCCCTTGTGTACTAGTAATATGTATATCTGGGTAGCTTATGTAAGGATATATAACTGCCCTCGAGATAATGTATTTGTATTTGGCTGTACAGATGTCATTTCCATTGAAATAGAAAATTTAATGATAAGGACTCCAAGTTCCTATGGCAAAGGGTCGTGGTGGTCCGTGATAATCAAACCATTAGTAAGAGTAACATAAGTATGACACTTTTTGGTAGTAGTGGTGAACCAGATGGCCGCATTTAGCACAAAAACTCAACAGATGTGATCTTTAAAGAGCCAAAGAAAGTAATTCAAATCTTTATGGCTGGAAAATAAGGGTATGATCTCTTTGACGTTTTCATGCCATTTTCCTTTTTCGATTTTTCAAAATGGTGAAAATGTGTTCTCTTCCCCATTTTGGAAAACGAGTTTTCAAAAAAAAAAAAAAAAAAAAAAATTTGTGAAGAAAACACAAAACCACCAAAATGCCATTTTGAATGTTTTCTGTACAAAACACGACAAAAACCCAAAACGCGCAAAACAGGAGAGAAAAAAAACCAACAGCTGTGACTTCCTGCTTCATTCTCTCCTTTGGGTCGTCTCTTCCTTCTCCCTTCTCGACGCCGGCGACGGAGTGGTTGATGGTGGTGCCGCCGGCGTGGGGAGGTGCAACCCATTTGTCGCGACGCTGCTGTGGTTGGGTTCGTCGCGACGCTGCCATGGTTGGATTCGTCGCAACCCATTCTCTCTTCAACGCCAGCTGTGGTTTGGGAGAGGCGATTCGTAGCAACGTGATGGGTGTTGATGGTGGTTTCTTCTCCCTCCTCTCTCACTTTCGGGGGTTTTATTCGTTTATTGATTTGGTGTTGATGGTGGTCAGGGTGATTTTTTGTTTTGAGTTTTTCGATCTGGTGTTGATGGTGGTTTAGGGTGGTTTTTCCATTTGGGCTTTTTGGCAGTGGTGTGTGGTTCAGGGTGATGGCAATGGTGTTGATGGTTGATGGTGGTGGAAGTGGTCCATGTTTATTGGTGGTGGTAGTGTTGTTGACTGTTGATGGTGGCGGCAGTGGTGTTGTCGGTGGATGGTGGTGGTAAAAAGGTTTTCCAAAATTTCAAAGAATTTCATAGTAAACACGTTTTTCATTTTTTGTTTTGAGAAATCGTTTTTCAAAATGGCAAAAAGAACATATTTTCAACAATTTCAAAACAAACACTCAAAACACAAAACTCAAAATGAATTCGTAACTCAAAAAACAAGACTGAAACACGAAGAGAACAGCCTCTGTGTTTCAGATTTTCAAAAACAGAGGCAATAATTAACACACAACAGAAACAATTTTGGAAAATGAACCGAAGTATAGCCTAAAATAAAACTCAATGAACTAAGCATATCCAACAAAAACAGAAATATTGAAGTCATTTTTTCGGCACGTGTAGGCAGCAAATTAATTCACAGTATACTAACATGAGTAAAGAAGTCTACCTCAGAAGACATTTTGCAGCCAATGCCTCCGTGTAACCATATAAAAAAATATATTCTTTGTTTAAGCCAATGAACTATCGTGAAAATTTAACACCAAATGTTTTCGAGACATTCTAATATTAGATCAAATGAGTAAGAACCTGGAAGATGATTCCTGTGCAATTGTCTCATTGCCATCAGATGTTGGAATTGCAGTAGTATTCATTCCCTTCTTTGAACCATTTAGCGGTCCATCATAGAACTGAAAGACAAAAATAGTCAGGGACAGAGAAAATGTAGTGTGAAAGAAGAAACTGTTGAGATTTCCCCAATCACTGTTGACCAGTGGCTACGGACCTTTGATTTCATTTCTTTGTTAGGGTCTAAAATCCGACTTAGAATATTCACAATCTGCAGTTCAACACAAATGTTTCTCATTACAGCTTAGAAAATTGAAAATTATGCTAATTGTAAAACTTCAGATAAAACAAACCAACAGCACTACCATTTCAATCAAGCCCTGAGAGGTTGCTGATTCTGACTGCTTCAGCAAATAAACTAGGGGGTACAAAACACCTTCTGCTTCAATTTTCAGGCAAACACCATCGCTGGCAATGTACGGAATGCTTGATATTAGACCATTCTCAGTGGTTGATTAAGCTTAATAAGAGTTGGGAAAATTTTCAGAGATTTTTCATATAAGTTTGGGGACTCTTATGCCTTGAAACGTGAATATAAACTAAGTGACGCATCTGGACAAGTGAAACCACAGATGCAAGCATTTTTTATTGTATGCTAATAAACTAATTAATCAATAAAATTCAGATGTAGGCACCATACATGATAACAGTACTCATTTTATTAGCAATGATGAAATCCAATCTGTATGCATTCTGATTCAAGAAAAAAAAGGTGAACAACTTAATGGATGTAACAGACAGAAAAAAAACACAGATATACGGTCATCCACAGAAAGATGTAAATGTGCAAAAGGACAAGTCCAAACAAAAATTCCAGCAATGCCAGAAAAATTGCCCTTCTATAAAAACCTTATATATAAATTATTTGTTATTTTTTGGGTTGGGGGGGCTGGAGAGACCATACTCAAATAGAAATATGACATGAAAACTCTAGATGGCTGGGCTACTCAAATTTGCATTTCATTTCTAACGTTGTATATGCTTCCACCACAGCAGAAACCGACTGCCTGTTAAATTTGAGGACCATGCTTTTACCCACCCACCCCACAAAACAAAAATGTGAAAGAACAAAACAAAAAAAAGGTGAAAGTTCTTCTTTCACCAATCTGAGCAGGTGAGCAAAGATCAACCAATGACCAGGCAAATTAATCTTATAAAGGCCATCTAAAAAATATTCTTTGCTTCAACTGCCTTTTGAAGTCCTGATTCTCATATATATATATATATATACACATATATATATATATACACACACACACACACACACATATATATATACACATATATATATATATACACACACACACACACACACATATATATATACACATATATATATATATACACACACACACACACACACATATATATATACACATATATATATATATACACACACACACACACACACATATATATATACACATATATATATACACATATATATACATATATACACATATACATATATATATATATATATATATATATATATATATATATAGATATATATATTAACACACTGAAATGCAAAAAAGGTATTTCCCTCGCAATTTTTTTTAAAAAAAATGTTCTTGTATCTAGAAAATTATGGGGATGATAATTCGATCCAATTAACATGCATGTACGACCGATGACCTAGAAAAATGCAAATGCAAAAATGAAATAGTTCGAAAAATAATGTGAAAAGTAAGCTAATAGAAGGATACAGTGGGTTGTCTCCCACCCAGCACTATATTATAGTCGATAGCTCGACTTTTCTGTATTGCATCATTCTGATGGTCTAAGATGAATGGTAGCTTTTCCTTTGAAAAATCGCCGCCCTAATAGTGCTTCAAACGCTGTCCATTGACCTTGAATGTCCCCTTGCTATCGTGAGTGATCTCAACTGTCCCATGTGGAAACAGAATCAGAGAGTTAGCATGAGAAGATTTTACACTACAACAATGACAAGTTAAATATATTCCTACATTAGATGTAAATTAATTCTTCAAGGAATTTCAGATCTTAAAAGATAATAGAAACAATAAATCAAGTTCTTGTAGAAACATAAGTTACAACTTTCAAGTAACACCTGGGTAAGAAGAAGTTCAATTAAATAATAAGTTGTGGATGCACTACATAACAACTCCATAGAAGTCCTTTACCAAGTAAACATTTTAGCTGCTTAAACTGATAACAATGTTCCGCAGCATCATAAAGGTCATGTATCATATGTGGATGCACTACATAACAACTTCAATGAAAGCACCTCTCTCCCTACACCTCATGCCACTTCTCTTTTATGATGTACAATAACACTGACCAAACAGAAATAAAACACATCCAGACCTGAACCATTTTTCACCAAGTAAACCACATTATAATGTAACAATTTCTTAAATTGTATGTTGGAAAGAACAGGTGTAATCTAATACATGTCTCGCTATCAAGGCACATGAGGTTCTTGAGCAGGTTTTTGTTGATTGGGCTGGTGGCTAGCTTGTGTTGTGGAATTTGATTTGGAAAATTGGGCTAGTTGAGTAGGATACTGATGGGTAAAATGGGTTTTTATTGGGCTAAGCGCTGGTGTTGACCATTTGGGCTCTGGAAATGGGTTGAAATCTGATGATCGAGATGGCTTCCTATTCGACTAGAGGTTGAGGTCGTTGGTTGGGCTGCTATAGTGTCGCTGGGATTAAAATTGGATTGCCAGTAATGTTGACCAGACAGATGGTTGACTTTTTTTCTGGTATTGAACAGCATCTGATACTTCTTTTTGCTGATAGGAGAAGAGAAATACTAATTAATGTAAAACAAGAAAGAGAAAAAGAAAGACGAGAAAGAACTTGAGAATCTGAGAGAATTATTAGTGTGTAGAATTATAGTCATTTTCATTTTTCAGTTTTCTAAAATACTCGAAACGTGTTTGGTATGTTATTTTCAAAAACGCATTTTTGAGAACGAGGAAAATTTTACAACATAAAACTCAAAATGACTTTTTGATGTTTTGAGTGTTTTCAACAAGGAAAATGAACTTAAAAATTTCTCAAATTAAAATAATTAATAAAATCACACAAAATTTACTCAAATACAAATATCCATCTCCCAATCTCTCTCTCACTCTCTCTCTTCCTAAGCTACTCCAAAATGTCGTAAAGCTATTTCTAAAAATTTTAAACCAAACAAGTTTTTTGTTTTTTGTTTTGAGAAACAGTTTTTCAAAATTATAAACCAAACGTTTCTTCTGCAATTTTAAAATAATCCCTCAAAACTAAAAACAAAAAATGAATTCAAAATTGAAAACAGAAATGCAAATCAAACGCACTCTTAGTATTGACAGTGCCATGTGAGCTCTAATACTAGTGATAAGTCTTTGGGGGCAATTCTAGTTGTATTTATTCAAGCTGATGCTCTGCTCTATGTGAATTAGGTCAGTCATGGCCAATCACAAGAAGCACACACATGTATACACAAAAACCCACGAACAATTAAAGATAAAAATATGCTACTAAGTGGATGGTAATGAACAATTTTCATCTACGTGCCTTTTATCAGTTAAGTAATGGTTGAGGATAATATTTTACCATTTCTAATGTTCCATTGTTCAAGTAACAATAGCAAATAGCTGCTAAAATACCTAAGCTCAAGCAAAACGATATTAATATAACAATTTTCTGAGCTTTGAGATACCTTTTACATACATTAAAAGTTCGACAATATTCTGGAAATTGCAAGTTTGACAACGGTCACACAATCGTTTTTGTTTCTCATCGGTTACTTCTTCTTTTAATTTTCATTTGGTCTCCTAAATAGTACTAAATCATGCAATTAACAGAAATGTTAAACAATCACAATAATTTATGGCAACCATAAAGTGAGCCTCACCAGGTTTGGAATAACACCTGCTTCAACCATTATCTTGTGATTTGACTGGCTCAGCGCTAAATTAGCCAAAACTCCACCAGCAGACTCCCTCACTTTGACATTGTCATCTTCCAAGAACTTTATGAGTATAGGTAGGAGCTCAGAGTTGGCGATTCTTGTTCTGAGCTTCTCATCCACAGACAAATTCCACAATATGCATAAACTCTGCTCCTTCACCTGCAGAAACATATTGAAGCTTTACCTAAATCTTCTATGCCAAGAAACACGATCAGATAAATGTCAATGGTATAGCAGGTCAATTGCATTTTACATCAGGAGACAAGGAATATCGTCTCAAAAGGCCAGTTATCTCTTCTATTGTACCAGTATCACCCACTGTATCTCTGTATACATTAAATGAGGATACCATCCTCAACAGACCAGCAGCTGCTTCACATGTAGAATCAGACTCTGATTTCAGAAGATTCAAGGTGAGATTGATAGTGCCACGAAATTTCATGATGTTATCAACATACTGCTTTCCTCCAAGAGAATACTTCCAGAGTGCAACAACGGCCTGTTCTCTGTCACGAGGATCATTGTCTAACCCAAGCATCCGAACAAATAATGCCACGTAACCATCATTAGAGCGAGATGATCTGCTCTGCAAGTGATTGCAAAAACCATTTATCATTCATGGCTCAGAAAAAAGAGCATCGATTTGGCCTTTATGAAAGTATTTACATAAGAAACAGAAAAATAAGGATGCATCTTACAAATGATATATCAACCCCAAAGAAAATGATTGGTTAGTAAACATGGTGCAAAATAAGAAGGCCACATGCCACATTTTACAATGTAAATTCTCTATAAACCATGGTGAAATCCTTTACAGAAGAAGATGGGCAATTACGGCAGTTCGGAAAATGGGAAAAGTCTTTCCCAACACCTATGATCCTGTATCAGAATAATAGTTTCTCTGAACACTATTCATCACAAATCTTGTTTACATAATACAGTGAAATGAGATCAGACAAACACAAGTATGGCCTGTGCTCCATGAACTATAATCACTATCAAATAATCACAAAATTATCCCATGGCTAAGAATAAACAGTTAGAAGAGCAGCAGTTGACGTCAAAGTGGCACCTACAGGCTCGTGATTGAGGACACATTTGTAATGCTATGGATAAAATGCCTAATCCCGTATTAGGAAGAAAAAACAACACAAAACAGAAAAATCAAAAGCAAGTAAAAACACAATTTTTAGTGGTTCTCTCATACATACATCCAGCACGTGACATAAGCTGACAATATAAAATGCAAAAAGCAACACCATTAGTGTACATGACATACACTGAATTTCCTATCGATGGCTCCACATAAGATACACGCCGCCAGGTACAAACTTTTTATAATTTTGATATGTTCATAAGTATCAAATCTAAAATCACTTCAAGTAATATCTTCGTATTCCAATATCATATTAATGCATTTGTTATATTTCAGTAGTTCAAGCTACATGAATTCATTTGCTGCCTAAACATTGCATTTCTTCTCAACTTTGATATAGGCATGCGCAAGTATGGAACCTGCTTTATTAACTTGTGGGCTAGAAATATCTAGCAAATCCTTTTTTTATTTATACATTTACTTTCTTCTGGTATTCTCTTCATCAGCTGCAATTGTAAATGTGGCGGCCATAGTTCAAAATTATTCACGGAGTCAAACAAATAATTGGTTATCCACCTAACCAAACACTTAAATTGATGATACATATCAGAAAAGTTCAAAAAATTAAACATAAAAAATAGTCTAACCAAAATATAAATAATAACTCGAACTAGGGGGGAGTAAAATGCATAACTTTGAGCAGGCTATGCGAAACTCCAATTGGCACATGCATTTCCATTTGTCTAAGCACACAGATAATTCCCCAGCTACATTTTCCAGAGTTGAATGACATGACATAACTCGAGATTATACGCACGCGAAAAATTAAAAAAAAAAAAAAACACAAAAATAAGACCGTCCGAGTGAGTTTTGGATAAGTAGGGTGCATACAGAAGTAGAAGCCTCTTCTTTGGTCACAAAAACCTCACCCTCACCATCATCGCTGCACGCCCTCGTCGAGACAGAGCATAGCACGGGATTTCTGACTGTATCACGACGATAACAGTAACGGCCATGTGGGTTCCTGGTGGCACTGAAGGCGGTGTTCATCGACTTCTTAACTGAAAAAACCACCACATGACTATGTTGTTGCAGAAAACTGGAAGGCTTGAAGTTGAAATGAATCGGGAATGTAGAAGACATATTCTTGTAATTAATTCCAGTTCTAAATAGTTGATTTTTTACATGAAAAAATAAATAAATCGAAACATGGAATTTATGCAAGCTGTGGAACCCAATATGGAGCTTAGGGTTAGTGCCAAGTATCGAGGTGAAGGAGATGACTTATTTCCTTTCGCTGGTGAAGATATTTGTATTTCCCATTATCATAGAATGCACTGGAAATTCTTTTCTTTTGAAATGGTTTTAACTAAAAAATTGATTTTAAAAAGAGGAAAAAATATCAATTAAAACTTTATATTATTTCATAACTCATTGTTTAAACACATCAAAATTATCCCAATTATTATGGACATAAGCAAAAATGGGCAGCCCACATCGTAATGCTTGATTTGGATCTTTATGGATTTGTAATTTTGTAGAGCATTTTGAATGGTGATGTAAAATTGAATGTAAATTAACAGATTCAAGATCACTTATGCATGTATATTTTGATCGATGTAAATTCAAATTATATTCCAATGAAAAGATTTAAATCCACTTTTTTTTTTACCATATTTTTAAAATTTTCTTTCGAAAAATACAATTTGCATCTCCTAATTGGAGAAATTTTTTATCACTAATCTAAAATTTTATTTTACATCATGCTTGCTGGAGCCTCATTCACAGTTGGGTCTCCTTGGTGCCTAAGCAATACATAAATATTTACATTTAATGTCAAGTGTGCACTCGTGAATCTTTTGCCTTTCACATTCTCTTCTAACTGGTGATAAAAGCGTTCATCAAGATTTTTGACAGCGATATTCATACAATCTTAAAAATTGGGTAACTTCGCCTTGTTTGAACCCCATTTTGAAGGAAAAATGTATTTTTAAATAGTAAATTAAGCCTAATTCTTCCAAATATTTGTTTTTTCAAAACTCATTTTCAACAACACATTCTTCAATAAAATAATATTACACACAAATCCAAAACTTATCCTTAATTTTTCACGACACATTCTCCATCAATCACTCTTTAAAAATATATTTTTTTCTTCAAAATGGGGGCTCAAACAAGGGCTATATTTCAAGATTACAAGAGCATTTGCTTCGAAAATGCCCAAATCGCAATTTGAAGCCACCAAACCAAACCATAAAGAAAAATTATACTTGTACATAATTATTGTACATAATGGTATCCATAATGTGATATGGCAATCATCCAGTTGTTGATGTGAAAGTGTGAGATTTGAATTAAAAGTTGGATCCAGTGCCATGTGTAATTATGGACACTATTATGTAGACAATTATGTACATGTAGCATTTCTCAACCCTAAATTGTGGATTGGTTTGGAGTTTTACCAACCGTTTTAAATGCTTTGATTCGGGGAAAAAGCAAAAACCGTCTAAACCGAACCATTTACCCCACTACTCATATCTCAACAACAGTTTTCTCCTGTCCAACATGAATCACAGAAAAAGAATAACTAGAAAGCGTATCATCATAACACAAATTATGGAGAACTTGAAGTTAAACCAAATTAAATGAAGATAATAACATGTAACCATGCATACCCAGTATCCTTCCAAATGAAATCTCCCAAAACACAGAAATAGAAACAAAGAAAAAACAAGCATGGATTCCGGCTATCATTTTGCAGAAACACGAAGTGTTAAGCTGAATTGCTTCAAGGATGACCTCCCTAAACCAAAAAAGTAAATAAGCAAAAACAGTTCGAAATGCCACAACAGAATTTGCTTCTTTTCCACGGCAATAATTTTCCATCTATTCTATTTTAAGTAACACTATCTGTAATCGCTATTACACAAAGACCTAGCTCTTCTGCAACTTTATTCCCGCAAATGTGGTTAGTTTTGCCCACTTTAAAGGATAAAAAACTAATGCCTTGACTCTCTCAGATTTGGCTGTAAATTTGTTTCTAGGAAGGTTAGTGAGCATTGAACAAAGCCGTAAACTTGTCCCAATCCCATTCATCCAGCTTTGGGGAGATTACGGCTACTCCTACTGCCAGTACCACAAATGCAAAGGCCATAGTTCTGGCACAACTGTGCCCACGTGATATTTTGTCCAATATTACCTTACAGTATTTGTCTGCATCCTTGAACAAAGCTTGGCGAGCAACATCCAACCCACCAGCTAATGCATTCTCATTCTGTGGGCAAAGATGATAAAAAAAAGTCCAGTGTTATAAGCTTGTATGCAATACAGGTATATGTACTCGAGGAAGTCTAAAGCCATTACTATTAGACTTGACAAGGGATGAACTACCGGCTAATCATGGTGAAATGTCTGAAAATAATAAAGTACCCACTTTTTGCCGGAAAATTTTAATAGTTTGCCTCAATGCTTCAAGAGAAGACAGCTCCAATGGTATCTCCTTGCACTCCTTGGAAAGCTTCCTCAAGGCTGCAACACTAACCTCTATGTTGTCGATATAGATCTTGTCCTGTTTGTATCAATTTTATAGAGAATTTTTAGGTGAATGTCACAATAACTGACCAGAAGGTTAAG